ATATTAAAAATGAAAATGTGAATTGCCTCAAAACTATTTTAAGTAATGCTTCATAGTTATGACACTTTCGTTTTGGGCTTCTTAACTTTGGTGGCTTGAAATTGTTGTCAAAGGGGAAATTGGTGAATGGCTTACCATGGATAAAGCAACTTGATGGTGTATGTGAATGGTGTATTATTGCAAAGCAACACCGAGAAAGCTTTAAGAGTGGAAAGTCAAGGAAAGCGCAAATATCTCTCCAAATCGTGGATACTGATATGTATGTGAACCAATTGAACACATCTCACTTAGAGAGAGTATATGTCTTCTAACCTTTATTGATGATTATAGTGGAAAAACATGAGTTTATTTTTTAAAAAAATATTGCAATTTTTTTGAAGTATTTGAAGAATTCAAATCTTTTGTTGAGAAACACGGTGATTTTCAACAAGTTTCAAATTAATGTGATAAGATCAGATACAAATGGAAAATGGTTTCATAGACTCTATAAGGAACATGAAATTTGTCACTAACCACATCCCACACACCACAACAAAATGGCATTACAAAAAGAAAAAAATACAACTATTTTAAATATCATAAGATATATGTAAAAAGATAAAGAAATGCCAAAGGAATTTTTGAACCAAGGTCATTGTTTGTGCTGTATTGTTGCATAGTTGTCCAATAAAAAGTTTATGATATATGATAGCTAGAGAAGCTTGGAGTTCATAGAAGCCAAATTGGAGCATTTAAGAATCTTTAGGTGTGTACCTTTTGCTAAAATTCTTGAAGAAAAAATGGCAAAGCTTAGTAACAAAGGAAAAAATGTAGCTTCACAAGCTATGGAGAAAATGCAAAGGGTTACATCTTGTACAATCCCATCACCAAAAATGTATTATTGAGTAGAGATCTAATTTTTTATGAAAATAGAGTATAGGATTGAAAAAATAATCAAGAAAGGAAAACCATTGAGGTTGACGAAGTAGAAGAAAAGGAAGAAGTGAAGCATCAAGAAAACTCTTTCAAATCTATGCATGATTCATCTTCTAGTGGCCAATCTACTTCATTAACAAGTATTTCCTCTCATAGGCCTATAATATACAAAAGCCTTTAAGAAATTTATTTGGTTACTTGTGGACACGATGTTGAGGATGAAGATCTCACATTACTTTGTCTTTATATAGATTTTGATCCTATTTATTTTGGTGAAGCATGTAAAAGTGAAGTGTCGAAAAATGTTATAAATGAAGAGATAGGAGCAATTGAGAGGAATGACACATGAGAGCTTACAATTTATGAAAAAGGTTTTCGATGATTTAAGTTAGTTTAAATAAAATAAAATTTATCAAAATACGCTTAATTAATAAATTATTTAGTATTTTACCAATTTTCAATGATTCCAACTCATGTTTGTGTGTATTTTAATATATCCTTCAAAATAAAATTAAAAGATGAGGTAAATTGTTAATAGTTCATACCCTGAAGTGTATTATGATAAATTTCTCTAGATAAAAATGGATTTAAATTTGATAAAAAATCTAGCTTAAAATGTAAAATCACAAATTTCACATACTTAATTTGTTTGAATTGGACTAAATCTCATATAAATAGAGTGTAGAAAAGCCTTTGACATTCAAAATTTGGAAAACAAGAGAGAAATAAGAAAACTTGAATTCGGTATGGAAAGATAAAGTTGAAACTTTCACCTCTCTTTTAATCAATTTCGAGTTCCTTTTCACAAATCTTCTATACAAATTCATGAGGAATAAAAAACTAAAGAAAAAAAATAAAAGAGAACTCTATTTCACCCAAAAATCGTTGAAAATTGGGGGAGAAATTGAATTTTTTATTGAGGTGTATTTTTTACCTATACAAGGTTGAGTCGCTTATTTTGAGATTAAAAAATGAATGGAGTATAGATTGCAAATATAATAGACGAACTCTATTTCACCCAATAACCATTGAAAGTTGGGGGAGAAATTGAACTTTTTTTATTGAGGTGTATTTTTTACATATATAAGGTTGAGTCGCTTATTCAGTATGTTTGAGATTCAAGGATGAATGGAGTATAGATTGCAAATATAATAGACAAACAAATAATGTTTTTGATGAATATGTAAGATGTTTGCAGGTTTTGCAGCAGCATTATTACAACCCAGTGAGAAGAGATATAGTCGTTTAGGAGCCAGGTAAAAATGGTGGACTTTCATTGAAATCAGCTTATAAAGTTCTTTTTCATGAAGAAGAAGAAGATGTAGCATGAAATCTTGCTGGAATATGGAAGCTGCCAGGCCCTAACAAGGTTAGGAGTTTTATTTCGTTACTGTCCTTACAAGATTCTTACTAGTGATGTATTGATGAAATGGGGAAAAGTTTTAACCAATATTTGTCTATTATGTAAAGAAAGTGGGGAATCTAGTAATCATCCTTATTTGCAATATTCGTATGCTGGTTTTATCTCGATGCGATACGTGCGAGAAAACGGTGCATGTAAACTACAGGGCACACTAGGGGCAAAAGATACAGTGGTACGATAAATTTGGATGGAGAGAAATAGAGGATGTTTTGAAAATGTAGTGAAAGAAACGGTGAAGTGTGTGAAAAGATTAGAGTGATGTATAATATGAAGAAAAAATGTATAAAGGGATCAATGGAGATAAAAAGATCATCTATATCGGAAATGTATAGTGAAGGGTTATAAAGCTGAATTTTGATAGGAGTTCATTTGACAATCAGGGTCAGGTTAGGATGGGTGGTCTTATGAGTGGCCATAATGGTGATATATTGAAAAAAAATCTTATGGGCCTCTAGGTTTGAAGACAGCAAATGAAGCAGAGCCGAGATCAATGTTGGAGGGCATGAAGTTGGCTTAGAATTTGAAAAAGGAACTGTTGCTGAAGGCAATTTGATGAATGTGGTGAAGTGGAGTAATAAATAGTGGGAAGCTCCTTAGCATTTGATTTTGGGGGAAGATTTAATTGCACTTTGTAGTGTCGTTGCAACGGATTTTTTGAGAGTCTTAACTTTTTTTTTTTTTTTTTTTTTTTTTTTTTTTTGCGTATTTGGTAATATCACTTGTAACTATTTAATTATTGTAATTTTTTTTTAATGTAATAAAGAGAAAATATCTACATATATATTATTTTTAAGTTTCATTGCACAATAGACTCAAGGTTTTAAAACATATCTTGGGGCATAAAAATGGTAGATTTTATTTCTTCTAACCCCTGAGCTAATTTAAACATGCTTTTTAGGCAAAAAAGAGAGAAGTTTGTGGTATATAAGTCAAGAGAGAGAAATGATTGGGTTTAGAAAGTGCACGTGTTTCTCACATTTGTTTAGGTTAAAAAATAGGAAAAAGGTTTAAAGTGGCTAAGCGGTTAGAATATAACTTTTGAAACATTGGGTTTATCAATAAATGAAACCTAAAAATAGGGGATATTGGGATATTTTCCCTATAATAAAAGTTGTTACCATGTAAAAAAAAAAAGAGATGTGCTTACCAACATGTAATGCAAAATCTCTCCAATCATTGGTTCGGAAGCATATAACGGAATGAAAGACCGCTCACAAAGGAGGAGGCTAGTTCGAGGAATTGCTTAAACTTATAGGAAACGTTTATGTAATGAAGCTATATACTTCCCCTGCCCATCTCGCAGTTCAATTTAGATGAAGTGATCCATTGACCATTTGATCTAAGATTTGACGTCTTTAAAGTATTTTATTATTAGTTTTTCTATCAATTATATGATTATGAAATTTGGGTTATATTTAATTTTACTATAAACAATACTAAAAAATAATTTAAAAATAATACCAAAATACCTTTGAAACCTTCAAAGGCCTTTGGGTTATATTTAATTTTATTAAAAATATATTTTTACCGGTGCGAGTTTAAGAGAAAAATAGACGCCCCAAATTTGGTGTCAAAATATTTTGTAGAGGGGTGACATTGTGATTGGAGTCATCTCAGCTGACCATTCAGAATGGACAAGGAGAAGTATATAAGTTTTATACAATGAGAGAAGTATAGATTGGCTGCCCTAAACTTATTCAAATAGATTATATGCTAACTAATATCAAGAGGAGAAAAAAAAACAAAGGTCAGACAGATTATCAACTATGACAAAGTCTAGAGGAAACATAAAGGGTAAGTTTGACCATGACAAAGTCTAGAGGCAACTTAATAGGCAAGTTTGACTATGACAAAGTCTAGAGGCAACTTTGACATTGTTTAGAAAGTATCGCAAAAGAAGAGTGCGTCTGTTTTCAGATGGAAGATGCATTACCAAGTAGGTACCAACTTTGACATAGTTTAGAAAGAATAGCAAATTCGTCGTGGTTTAGAACTTCCAATGGAAAGAGGGTTTAGGCAATTAATTTTCTTCATCTAAATGTTGAGATCCACTTTAGAATTACGCCAATGCTATTTATTATGGAAAAGGATATAAAATACCATTTACTTTTGGTGTGAGGTCACAATTACTATTGTCAGTCGGTAGGATTTCAATCCGGGTGGTTGTGCGTGGCATTCAAAGTTCAATGAAAAAATTATTTCGATAGATCCCAAGCCATTCAACTTGAAATCAGATGGCAAGAATCAATATCATGACCCAGCCATTCAACTTGAAATTAGTTGGCAAGAATCAATAGCATCACCCATGGAAAGATCTTTTTGTGCAGGTAGGCTCTACGTCAGAGGCTCTACCGGTATTCTACAGACCCAAGATTTATTTTCTTTTTCATTTGTTCTTTTTGTGAGCAGGTAGCCTCTACGGTGGAGGCTCTACCAGTATCCTACACATCCAAAAACTGCATTTAACCATTCAGAACCCAACAAACACTAAATCCATTAAATCCATCTAAATTGGTAACACTCTATAGTTAAGGCTAAGTCCAAGATCGAAAAAATGTATACCCCTTAATTATGCGACAGAAGCAAAGCTTCCTCGTTTAGCAAAAGTTATTAAAAAGAACATAAAAGTGAAGAAAAATAATAAAAAAGGAGCACACGCTCATGAACTATAATCTTTGCATTACTTCTTTTTATTCAAGGCCAGGCCAGAGTACAGGATCAATTGCTGTAAAAGAATATTCAAAAAAAGAAAACTAAAGCCAAAAAGAGAAAAAAGGTCGGGGGAATCAGCAGACTGATCAGAGAGCCAGGTAAAATACCCGGCATCTCTCGAAGAATAAGGGATTAAACAAAAAAAATTAACCCTGAAAAATTACACAGATTCTTACCACCTTGCTTGTGTCCTCACCGGAAAACAAAAAACCGGGAAGAAACCCCAAGAATCTGAGCATGCCAAAGCCTTAATTTTCATTTTTTTTACAAGGCTTGCATGCAAAGAATTGGTTATTGCCAAATTTGCCCCCATGTTATCATCAGTAGTTAGCTTTCCCCATTTTTTTCTTTTTTCTTTCTGGATTGCTTAGGTCTTAATTAATTAGTGGTGTCAGGCTTTAGGGGGGCCCACTTCTGACCCCTTGCGGGAATCGGGGAGCCGGAATCTCGCCTCCGCTGAAAAAGATGGACCCCGCACCTTAATACGCTTGGGCCCCACTTCAAGAGATTTCTCAGAAGAGTGACAACTATCTTCTTTCCTCGAAAATTCCCTTACTTTTGCATGATAGTAATCATCCTTGCTAAAGCTGTCTCTGAAGCTGTGGACCAGTCGATGGCTTTCTTCTTTACTGGGGATTTCTCTAAATTTTGAATAATTGTTATCATCCCTGCTGAAATTTTCTCTGGTTTTTGGGGTTGGTCTATAGCTGTCTACTGTACTGGAAATTTCCCTGTATTTGGATTGACACTTACAGTCCTTGGAGGTATTTTCTCTTAATTTTTGGGTCTTTGAATGCGGGTTCTTATCCATGGCTGATTTTGTATCAGGTGAGGTTGTTCTGAGCTTGAGGGAATGAGGACATGCTTTAGAAAGATGTTGGGGTCGAGTGTCTAGCTTGTGAGAAGAGCTGCTTCCTAGTGGAAGAGTTTGTGGGCCCCGTCCCTCTGGCACAAGTTTCTTCAGTCGTTTAAGTGCCTGCAAATTGCCAACAAAAAAAAAAAAAATGTGAACGCTTGTAGACTAAGATCTGATAAAGTAAACCTCAAATCTTTGATACACAGTAAGGGATTATCAACAATCTTTGTAGGGTACAGTTACATATTTTATATAAATCAAAAGCCAAAACTTCCAGTAAGTAGCTCTCTCTCTCTCTCTGTATATATATATATAGAGAGAGAGAGTAATGATCCTATAGGGGACCCTCCCCCACCCATGTGTATAGGACCCCAAAGGATCACCATTAAAATTGACACGGATCTCTAAAAAGTTATCATTGGTGTGGGACTTGACTTTTCTATAGATTTGTGCCAAATTTAATGATGATCCTTTCGAGTCCTACACACATGGGTGGAAGATCCTATATGATCATTTCTCATATATATATATATATATATATATATATATAATGTGTGCGTGTGTGCACACGTCCAAGCACATAGTGCACTTTTCAAACACCATGTATCATACAAATAGTAAACCATGATCAGCGTTTTAGTGGGAAGGCCCCATAGCCGACCATTGAATTGGCGGGCAAAGAGCTTCCCAGTGTAGATCTTTTTTTGTTTTTGTTTCTTGTTGTCAGGTGTGGGGGGCTCACATCCACTAACTACTAATACATAAACTATGTGAGCCAGTCAGTGTGATTTCCTAACACTTTCCTCTGTCATTATCTTTTCTTTTCTTTTCTTTGATTAATTTCCAAACACCTGTTGATTTGTGCATTACAGGGAACCCAATTCATTTGTTGATCAATTTAATAACACTTGTCGATTTGTGTAATACAAACTCAGCAGAGAGAACCCATAGTTGCAGTTGCCTCAAATTTTGTAACATAGTTTATAGGGCAACCTACCTAGAGAATCTAATACCGAGAGCCTCAAATTTTGTAACATAGTTTATAGGGCAACCTACCTAGAGAATCTAAAGATACCGAGAAAAACTAGGCTGAACGGACATTGTTCGGGTTCAACAATGTAGGTTTTACACCAGATGATATGATGCGCTTTAACTGCCCAGGGTCATCTGAGATGGCCCATTCATCTCAGAATGGTTGATGAGGTGGCCTGGCACAGGAGATAATGTGCCATCCATGCTGGCTTCTCCAATATTCTAATAAGATGCCAAAAGGTGTTCTCTTTTTTTGATGAATCAGAGAGCCTCGTTTTATTAGTACGATATCCAGAACGTCCTAATGGTGTGACACCTGGTTTGCACCAAGCCAACAAACCAAAATGAAAAGAAAAAAGCAAAAAATACGAAAAGGGAAATAAGATTCTAAAAGAACATGGGCTTTTAGTTACAAAAGAACGTGTCTTCCAGTCATGACATTACATTTGGAACAGTTCAAAAAAACCCGACAA